CCATGATTTTGACATGTGAATTTCTTTTGTAGTTTCTGATTCTTGTGTGAGACTCAGGCCTTCAAGTTTAGGTCTGCTTCTTTTTGTGAACTTTATGTGTCTTTGTGGTTTACTTTTTAGGCATGAAAGGCTGGTTTGTCTAAGCTTTTGTTTCTCTCTTTTGATTTTACATTGGAGTGGCCAGATTGCTTTTGTCTTCAGGAGTTCCCACAGAGGCCCAGTTCAGATGAGGGTCAGATGTTTTCAGGCTTTCTCCTAAGGTCTGAATCCTTCCAGGAATGAGTTTGGCCTCAGGAATTTGGGGGTTAGACTGGCCTGGGAGCCGTGCTCAGGAAAGATGCTGGTCTAGGGCAGCTGGTGGCTGTGCCACCCAGAGATGCAAAGGCAGATAGGGTGGGAAGAGGCCCCAAGGACTCCTGGGGACTGCACTGAGGAGCTGTGTTGGTCTGGATGCAAAGGATCAGGAATAGGAAAGGTCATCCCCAGCATCCTGGAAAGGGGCTTGCAGGCCCAGGCAAGCAGAGCAAGGTGAGGGGGGTTGGCAGGCCCAGAAGCAGTGCTCCTGGGGCCCAGAGAAGGCACTAAGTTGGTCTGGATGAAAAGGATCAGGAAGCAGTATTGGTTCCCCAGGTGTGTGGGGCCCAAAGACAAGGAATGGGACAGGACCCAAACTAGGAGAGAACGGCAGGGCAGATGGGAGGGTGAATGAGGCTGGGGGAGTCAAGTCGTGGAGGGCATAATGGACTTACCCGGGAGAGAGGCCTCCGGGTAGGAGAGAGGCTTGTGGTGGGTCGTGCAGGCCCAGGGAAGCAGAGGGAGGTCTGTAAAATCTATTCTTATATTTTGTTTTATATACTCAATATGGAACTTCGGAAAGATAATTAACTAGTCAGAATAGGAAAGCTTCAACATAAACATTGCTCACCATCTGGTAGATACATAATCAGTATATGGTGGTTGTGATCTTAATTCTCTTGCAAGTCCAAAATCAGCAATTTTCACAAGTTCTGGACCCATACAAAGTAAGTTTTCGGGTTTCATGTCCCTGTGAAAAAAGCCTGGGCAAGCCAGAGAGGAAAAACACAATAAACTGTCATGCTTTTTGGTTTATAAATAAGATATAACTGAGTTACATCTTCTATTACAAACACAAGGTTAGGAAAGAAAAAATTTACTGTGTAAGAAGTAATGAGCTGTTGGAACCCTGATTTTTCAAAATAATTTTGAAGCCAGGCCATAATACCACACACCTTTAATCCCACCTCTTGGGAGGCAGAGGCAGGTGAATTTCTGTGAGATCAAGGCCAGCCTGGTCTACATAGCGAGTTCCAGGCCAGTTGGAGCTATTGGGTGACACAGTCTCAAAAAACAAACAAAATAATTTGGAAAGAGTTCACACAGTATATAAGATCATTAAAAACAACTACCCATTTGACATGTATTTTTAATCTGTGACTCCAGTAGATTTGTACACAGGAATAGCTACTGACCCATCATGACTATCTCCAGTTATTTCCACGACCTTAAGGAAGTTGGATATATCACTACTGTGTGATAGACAAGGAGGCCTAGGCTGAGATAGAAGCGTAACAAATTACTTCTGTTGGTGCAGTACTACTGCACTGTTATCTGGGGGTAACCAACAGCTATCTATTGAACTTAAAGTCCTCTCAACGGGAGGGAACTCATGGGTGACACTGTAAATATAACCAAATAGACATACTTAGAGAGGTCGTAGATATTAGAGAAAACCCCATCTCTGACATATCTCTAGACAAATGAAATTTCTTACTACATGATAATATGGATCTTTATATTTACAGACAAGTTATACCTGTCACCACTCCTCAAAGAAGCTTCGTTTTGCAACAGATGGAGGCTATTGCAGAGTTCCATAACTGGTCACACACAGAGAATATTGCCTGAGAGGTGCCCCAATCCTAAGTGACACATCTACAGTGGAACCTCTACAACTAAGGCTCATGGAACTTAGCAGAACAGGGGGCGGAGAGAATACCAGTGCATACCTCAACTCATCCTCGAAGCTTTCTCATTCAACAGAATGTGATGCACACAGAAGGCCACGACTGGCTACGTTTTAGAGAATAAGAAACTGCAGAGTGCATGTCCCTGAATAGGACTCCTATGTTAAACTTCACCCATCCACGGCTCAGGGACCATTTTGGAAGAGGAGGCAGAAAGACTGTAAGAGCTAGGGTTGGTGTTTGAACATAAGGAAACAAGCCTTCAGGTCACTGAAAACTTGTTCATATGAACTTGCAACAATGGTGACAGCATGTACAAGACCCATGCCTACTTAATCAGACAAAACGCCAGCATGGAGTGGGGGAATTGGGCAGCAGGCCCCAACCCTAGCCAAGGAACTATTGGCAAATGATTACTGTGGGGTGAGGGAGAGTAGATCTTTAGGGGAGTGACTCTAGATAGGCTGACTAGACTCCAGTGGATGAACTTGCACCAAGGGACACCTGGATAGAAATGCTTGACCAGATAGCACTTAACATATATGACAGAATACCTGAAATCTGGTGGTGTGGGGGAGTAATGGGGAATAGGGAGGAAGGAGGGGGTCTAAATTTGATTAAGATCTATTACATGAAACTCACAAAAGCTCAATAAAAGTATTAAAAATAAAAAAGTAAAAGAATCTATCTTCTCAAAGTATTCTATCTGAAGTGCTTAACTGTAGCAAGGATAATTTAGCCTTTGTTTAAAAAAAAGACTACAGCCCTCAGAGCATGCTTTCCCAAATTACCAGGTAGACAACTACATAGTCAACCCTAGATTATTCATAGGTTAGCAACTTTCAGCTACATTTTTTAAGATTTTTGTTCTCTCCTATTTTGTTTTGTTTTTGAGACAGGGTCTTTCTGTAGCCTGGCTGGCCTGGTACGCACTATGTAGATCAGGCTGGTGTCGATCACACAGAGATCTGCTTGCCTCTGCCTCCCAAGTCTGGGATTAAAAGTGTGTGCTACCGTATAAGTCAACTGAGGCAAACATCAAGTGTTGTTAAACAGAGTAGAGTTTAAACAGAGTACCAGTATTCCATGAGTCATTAAAATAATACCTAACCCTGTGTTTCTGTATACTTACAAATTACTGATATTGTGGTATATCATCGTGGGTTTTAGACTTTTTAAAGATATAGTTTATTATTTTTATTATTTATGTGTATAGGTATGTGCACACACATGTGGGAGCCCTCAGAGTCTAGAGGTATTAGATTCCCCTGGAAGTTAAGTTACATGCAGTTGTGAGCCACCCAACGTGGGTGCTGGGACCTGAATTTGGGTCCTCTGAAAGAGCAGTATGTGCTCTTAAATGCTGAGCCATCTCTTCATCCTGGTTTTAGTCTTTTAAAAGAAGTCAGTAATTTATTCCCAATAATTTTGAACCCCAATTAAAAAGCTGAGGATTCAGGAATTTTCTGAAATACTTCTATGGACTTTGACATAACATTTTTGGAAGATAAATGATTTCCGATAGCAGTCAGAGGAGAAAAATAAAAAACAATCATACAATATAGGATGTGCTACGGAAGAGACAAAGTGGCAGTGTCTGCCTGCCTGGGTTCAGAATGCAGCAACCCCACAGCACAAACCTTTCAACAATAAAGATCCAGTAATTCTAAACAAGTGCTTCTTAACAATAAACACATTTGATTTTTGAATTAATAATTATTTTGTCTTGGAAGAAATATAAAATTACACAAATTAAAAATAAGCAAATAGGAAGTTCATAGAAAATAAACATTGGCTTTCATCACATTCAGAAAATAGGAACTAAATGTAAATACTAAGGACAACTATAAAACAACACAGCAAGGGGCTCTACATTATTGAAATTCTTCTGAGTAATCACATTGATCAAAGATTTCCAAACTTTACCAAAATTAATTTGGAGGGAAATCCATTATTGAGAGATCAGAAAGAGAACAGGTCCCCAATGCAAGCCTGGTTCAGAAAGCATCTCCCAAACAGAAAAATCGAGGAGCCATCTGTCCAAACAGCAGAACAGCAGCACAGTAAAGCCAAACAAAATGAGCCATGGCCCAGCATCACAGAGCTGTCCTCATCACATGGCAGGAAATTGCATGCACAGTGGTTCCCCTCAGTACCCAGAACTCCTTCAAGACGGAGCCCTGCAGCCCAGCACCAGGTCGTGACTTTGCCGCTGCCGTGCCTGCTCTTCTCCTTCTGGTCTATCAATCAAATGCACTTTTCTTTCTACTTCTGTCTAATGGGAAAATTCTTTCTCAAACCTGCCCAAACCTCCACTATAAGAGGGACTTTGTTTCTCTCTCTCTCTCTCTCTCTCTCTCTCTCTCTCTCTCTCTCTCTCTCTCTCCCCCTCCCTCCCTTTCTTTCTTTCTTCCTTTCTTCCACGATGGCAGTTAGTGAGTACATGAAGAAGGAGACTGATGATCAGACTCCTAACGTGCTTTCTATACGAGAGGTAACCATATATTAGAGATATCTTAAGTAAAATTATAAAAACTATAATTTTTAGATGAAAAAGTCAATGTATTTAGACATGACCCCCCGATTTTTATTTACCTTACATAGTATTACTTAGTAGTTAATATATTATTCCTATGTGTGTGTCTCTAAAAGACAGGGAACTGATACTTAAAAGAAACTTACCATGCTTATGGATAAATGCTAGCCCTTGCAGTATTTGATACATAATATTTCTGATGACTGACTCAGGGAACAATTTGTTTCTGGAAGAAAAGAATAAATAATCATGACATTCTGTTAACCAACCAAAAATGAAGAAGGCAGATAACTTCTCTTGCTTTACAGCCTCTGTTGGCTGCAGGATACTGGCTAAAGGGATAATCAATAGATTTGTAGTGCTAAATATGATAAATTTAAAATGTGAAAATAGAGATGTTTTGTTTTGATGTTTCAGAAAACCTCAAATCCAACAGCAAATGTATTCTACAAATATTCGAGGATTAAATTCTAAACTGTCCCAGTAGGAGAAAAACTGTCAGTGTCAGTAATCAAACTGTATTAGAAAGGCTTTAAGAGTTAGCATTTGCAAGGCTGTGTGTGTGTGTGTGTGTGTGTGTGTGTGTGTGTGTGTGTGTGTGTGC